GGACTCCGGGATTTCATCGCCACCGGCATACAATCTTTCCGGGACTGCGACGCCACCGCCCTGGCCGCCGTCGCTTGCCTCCTGGTTCTCTTCGTGTGGTACTGCTACCACGTGGGGCGGGAGCAGCCCCGCGCCTACGCCACCGTCAACGCCCTGATGCAGAGTGCCGAGGCCAACGGCGTGCAGAACGGGTACGTCTACTGCCCCTCGCCCGAGTGTGTGCGCTGCACGCACCACGACGGGCTCAACCAGAAACTCTACCACAACCTGCAGGAATACGCCAAGCGGTACTCCTGGTCTGGCATGGGCAGGATCCACAAGGGCATCCGCGAGCAGGGCCGCTACCTCAATAGCCGGCCATCTATCCAGAAGCCAGAAGTCTTCTTCTTGCCAGACTTGCCAACCATGCCCTATTTCTCCCGGGACGCTCAAAAGCACGACGTGGAGTTGCTGGAGCGCAACTTCCAGACCATCCTGTGCGAGTTTGAGACCCTCTACAAAGCTTTCTCAAACTGCAGCCTCCCGCAAGGATGGAAAATGAACAGCACACCGAGTGGAGAGTGGTTCACCTTCTACCTGGTGAACCAGGGCATGTGCGTGCCCAGGAACTGCAGGAGATGCCCACGGACGTACCGCTTGCTCGGGAGCCTTCGCACCTGCATTGGCAACAATGTCTTTGGGAACGCGTGCATCTCCGTGCTGAGCCCGGGCACCGTCATCGCCGAGCACTATGGACCCACCAACATCCGCATCCGCTGCCCCCTCGGTAAGTGCCCAGCAGGGTGGTTCCTCCTGGCTGGGTATCCCTGCCAAGGGAGGTGCGAGGGCATGCAGCCGCCTCAGGGTCCAGGAGCTCGGGAAAGACCTCTTGCACCTTGTGCTCTCTGGGGTGAGCCCCAGGGCTGGTTCTGCTGCCTCTGCTTTGGCCTGAGGGAGGTTTTGCGGCTTTGGCAGCAGCAGCCCCCCTGCAAGGGTGCTCAGTCCCACCAGGTGCCTGATCTCGTTGGTGTCCCCAGCTCAGCAGAGGGAGCGTTTTGCCTCCTCCTCCCACTGACCTGGAGGCGTGGGTTCTCTATGATGCAAAATACGGGGCTGGTTTTGTGCAGGGGTCTCTGAATACCCCCCCACCCTGCTCTGCAGGCACCCCCACCGCAGGACGTGGGGCAGCCTGGGGTGCTGCTCCAGGGACCAGTCTCCCAGAGCAGCCCCCCTCGGCAGCTCCTCCTCTCCTGGGATTTTGGGCACTCTGTGATGCGCCACGAGCAAAGACGCTGCTTTGGTGCAGATCAGGGGCAAGGGGTGTCCCGGGGTATCCCTTGTGTCAGAGCAAGGGCTGGGCTGGGCTCCCCCCCCCCGGGGATGGGGAGAGCCCCAGCGGCACAGATGGTCGGGGCTCTGCCGCGCTGCAAGCGGCGCAGATCGTGCTGGGGGAGGCACCGCACGGGTCCTGCTGGCAAACACCGAACGCGCTTGTTCAGCCAACTCCTCTTGGGTAAACACGCTCAGGCGGTGACTGGCCATTTATTTAGAAGGGGAATCAAATCTTGAGAGCTGAGATGAGGAGTTCTTCAGGCCTGGGACCTGCCTTTGCAGGTGCCAGGAGGCAGCCCCCCACCCAGCTGTTCTGTGGGAGAAGCTATTCCCTTCTCTCTGGGGTGCTAGGGAGAGGGGCTGCCCTTGCGAGGGGTGGTTCCTGGGAGGGGGCCAGGTCCGGGCTGGCTCAAATGCACCCTGCCCCAGCAGCGTGGGGCTGGGGCCAGCCCTCCAGCTGGAGCATGCACCCCGGGGAGAGGAGGGATGCAGGTCATTCCTGTGTCCTTATCTGCGGCTGCTGCCCCCCCGACCAGTGCTGGGGGCCCTCATTGACACCCCCAGAGCAGTGCTGGGGACTTGGCCCTCACTGTGCCCAGGGCATGGATGCATTTAAGAGAACCAGCTTGCTCTGAAAAGCCAGATCAAGTGTCAGCATATCCAAGTCGCTCTCTCAGATTTACCCCAACCCCTCTGCTGAGCGCAGGGCCAAGCTCAGGCACCAGCTCTGCCCCTCTGGGGACCAGGGCAGTGTCCCCAGGCTGCAGGTGTGACGGAGAGGCGGGGC